TTTCACTTATTTTAGAAGCTTATATACAGTTATTATCATATTTTGGGCACAAAAAAAGCTATTTGAGGGAATAGAAAGAAAGCAACAGTTTAAGTTGTCCTCTTGAATTTTCTATCTTTCTATCTACGTCTCTTTTTTTTTCTTCCTAGGTTAATGTCATTCTTGTCATACCTCTCTGAATACCAGCATCAGCAGAAAGCATGTTAGTTAGTGCCAGCCCTCTTAAGTATCAGCTAAGAATTTTACTGTGTAGCTCTTTCAGGCTGGCAATTGTTTTAGAACCTAAGAGGGATGAACATAACTTGTCATTCTTTCCCTAACTTGGTGAAAGCAAATATATTACTGCAGACAGCATTACCAGAAAAAAATAGTAACTTTGAGGCACATGTAAGTCCATCCTAAGAAACCTAAATATATTTCAAAGTAGAATGCACCACTCAACTGCTGGCAATGTTCTTCTACATTTCGTAGTACAGTACTCTGAGGATGAGAACTGTTTCTTTTTTGTAAAAATAATTTTGATTAGAAAACCCTAAATAGATCACTTGGAATGTGTAACATTCAGAGCTCCTCCTGGGATGCCTTTTCCATGAATCAAGGTCCTTTCAGCCACTACTCTCACTGGCACTTGCTTCCTACTCATCTCAGCTGTCTTTGTGCCAGGGCTAGTGAAGGGCTCTCATTTCAAGTCCCCAGCAGGGAGAACAATAGAAGGAGAACCTCACATCAAGCACAGAAAATGTGTGGGCTCATATAGGACACACATATTGTGAACATGAGCCAATAGTAGAGTTCTTTAGCTATTTACTACGGAGGGCTTTAGTGGGTCCTTAAACACCCTCAATTGTATGCAAAATTGTACGTGTGTGTGTTGATGCATGTACTTGGGGAGAAGATGCATGACCGAATTATCAAAGGGGATGCTTACAACTAAAATCTATGAAGCACTGAAAAGATTATCACAAAACAATTTAAAACTACTCTGATGGTTCTGACCTTATGTATTTAGAGTGCTTTTCCTCACTCCACAACACTTCAAAGAGCAATGTGGTAGTGTGGAAAGAATCCCTACCATTTAGGTGACATCTCTGAGCCATACTTTTCTCAATGCAAAATTAGCATATAGTAGAAGCATTAAATGAGACACCAGAGATGAAAGTCCCTAGCAGAGTGTCCTAAAACAAGATAAGTGTTCACATGGGTAAAGTGCCTTCCCCTGCTTAGAATGCAAGCACCTTGAAAGCAGGTACAATGTTTTCTTCAAAGATTTTGTTATGCTTACCATGCTTTTAATATATATATATATATATATGTTCACATACATTTAAGGGCATGTAAGCTCACACCACCATTTGTTGAATACAGTTATTTGAATATACTTTCACTATATTTACTATTATATAAGGATTTTTTTTAAGAAAAAAACTAAATTAGTATTTGCTTATATATTGAGAGCCTAACTTGGTTGGTGGAGAAGGGTAGGTAAATAGATATATATATATACCCCCAAGAAATAATAATTCATTTCTTTGCTAAAATCAAGTTGCAAATGTCTACTCTGACATAACTAGGCATGTGCTTTGTGTTGCAGGTGAAAAAAGGTTGTCAGTACAAGACCCTGTTCTCAAGGACTATTTTAGAAGAGCAGACAAAACATGTTCACAAGAAGGATAAACCAGGATACAGAGTGTTACAGGAATTTAGACAAGGGAGAAAGCACATCTGATAGGGGAAGGAAGGTGGGTATGGGGAAGGCTTCATGGAAGAGGCAGTGTCTGATGTGAGCAAGGATTCAACAGGTAGTAGCACGGGCTAAAGGAACAAATGAAGACACATGGGCATGATATCAAGGAGCACAAACTGGAAATAAAGGTCCCTTGGTTTAGGCTGAGCATGGGGTACTTTAAGGAATTACCGAGAAATGAGATTAAGATGTCTCAAGGTACCTGGTACAAATTACTTATGAATAATACTTTTTAAACACAACTATTTAATTCAAAAAGAACATAGAATAGAATTTATAAATAAAGACATCATGAACAGGGTGAAATATTACAGAAATGTGACAATTAAGAGGTCATGGACAACTTTCAAAATAGCATTTGTTTCTACCCATTCTCAGTGGAGGCACTGGTTGGATAGAAATGACATTTCTTCTTCAGCCTACTTACCCCTACCTTTTTTTCTTTTTCATTTTTCAAAATCTGAAGATAAGCCTATTTCAATTGCAGCTTATAGCAGTAAAGCAGCACCAGAAGATGTTGTTTTGTTATGAGAGGGCAACTTTTGACTTCTAAATTTGTACTAAGTTGCAGATAGCACGGACTGCCCGCCAGTCTAAACATTTTTTATATGATTGAAAAGCAATAGATTGACTTCGATTCTATCTTGTCAAATCTGTGAAAGTGCCTGCAGCTCATTTAGCATCTAATCATGCATATCCTTCTATTTTTCATTCTTTCTTTATTTCTGAACACCAGCCAATTGATTTTTCCTTTCCCTGGGAAGTGTTTATAGAAAAGGAAATAAAGTCATAAATCAGTTTCAGACAAAAAATCATACAGGTATTTCCACTTAGGCCTTCAAATTTAGAAAATTTCCTCAAAATTGTTTAACTATGACAAGGTCTAAATTCAGAAATTCCTTAAATTTAATTATCTTCCTCAGTGGCACCAAAATAAAAGTTAAATTTTCTAACTTGCTTTCTTTTTTCCCAACAAGGTTTCTCCAACTCCAGTCCATAACTTAGTGGATTAATCTCACCTGTAAAATCACTGCATTAGGTAGCACCAGTCCCTCGAACCTAATCCTATTTCTTGCTGAAGGTTCATTTTCTTCAGAAACCAAATAATAGACACTTTCAATTCTAACCATCATTGGGATACTCTTATGCATTGCTCTTGTGACTCTTAACATTACAGAAGTGTTTAATGTAATTCTCAGATCAATTACACTAATCTGTATTTCATATACCTTGGACTAATTTATTAAAAAGAATTATTATATTAACATTTGTTATTACTTATTCTTCAGAATAATGATTTATATGGTTAAGTAGTTTAATATTAGTCAAGAAAGGTGGTAAAATAGAAGGTTTTGTTGTTGATCTTGTTCTTTGTTACCTCTTCTAGTTGGTGTACCTGAGTCAAAATTCTACAGTCATGAAAATGTAATATTTTAAACCCAACCAATGCTCAACACATGATAATAACAACAACAACAAAAAATTGGTCCTGAGGTTTTCAAGATCCCAGGGGACAGTTCCTGGATTGGGCCACTTTGTAGTGGGCTTTGCCCACCCCCTCTGCTCTCTCTGCCTCGTAAACTGAAGGTGGAGACAAAGAAATTCAGATTCTTTATAAAAAGAGAATTTGTAATCAGAAAAGCAACACTAATATATAATAGAATTAAGAGGATTTTTCAGATCTTTGTCCAAAAGCAATATTGAAAAGAGGAAGGTCAGCAGAGGTAAATTTATCTATAAACTCTGCCCCTCTTTTTCACAGATCTTCTATTCTAACTTGCTAAAATAAAATTACACGGCTGTTGTGTCACACCATCTCTCTAATTTCAAGTTTAAAGATAATAGAGGTCCTTTTAGATAGAATATTGGTACACAGACACCTCACAATCTGGCTTATTGCAACTGTCCTGTGTTGGTGAAGTGGCACATTTGTAATCCCCATAACAGCCATCTTAACCATTTCACAGCATATTCTTCAAATGTACATCCTAGGTGGCCACAAAAATAGGCGCTTGAGCTCAGTAGCAAGGGGTCTCTGGGGGATATCCTAGGACAAGTGGTAGGAACCTGTAAATGGGGAGACTTAAGGACTTAAGGGGACTTAAGTATGCACAAATAACCCGAGGCTTAGGTTTAGGTGGGGCAGCTCCTTTAGCTTTCTGACTGCTTATGGGGAAAGCCTCTCTGAAAACTCTTTTGAGGTTATTGGGGAATTCTAGGGCAAACATGCTGTTTGCTTTCTGGGGAAGATTTGCCACAAATCCCAACAGCTAGTTGTCTCACAACCCAGCCGCACTAAAAAAGCTTCAACAGACACTGGATAGACAGGCATCACATTTTTACTCCCACCTATGCCTATGCATAGAGAGCCTCCTCACACCCAATATATTCTGTTGGTCCTCTTAAGCCTGCTGGCAGCCGCAGTGACTACCACGAAGGAGTTACGGGAATCCATGTTGGTAAAAAGCAGGATTTTCCATTCCATGTATTTCGGGGAAGGACCCAGGTGGTATTATATAGAGCAAATGCCCAATACGAAATGCTGTGTGAGCAATGCCCTTTCTGGGTCCTTGACAATATAGTCATGGACCCCGAGGCGGTGGACGGGAGCTGACAAGAGTTAGCCTGTGAATGGGCACATCTCCGAAAAAGATCAATGAAATGATTGACAGAAGATATGGTACATGGAGAAGCGATGTCAAGTGCTTCTCAACCCAAGCTGAATTCCGGGAGATAAGAGAAGTTTCTCCTCAAGATAAAGCCTCTTTCTAAAGGTTCAATCTTGAAGCAAGTGCTTTGACATTGAGATTCCATTCTGATGACTGGCAAGGGGGAGAACCGAGGACGACAGAAAGAGAGGGAAGACTTGCTTACTTCCCCAGGCTACTGCCAGGGACCTGCTGCTCCAGAACCGGAAAATAACCCAGCGAAGGGAGAAGGCAGAAAGGTGGAAGAGCGACTCAAATTGTTACATTTCGAATCCTCTTTAGTGTCTAAACGAACCTGGCACTGAAACGGTCGATCATCTTTAACAGGGTGCAGAGGTTGAACGCCTTCTTTGTTCGCCCGGTCACACCGCTCCTCCAGTCTCCCGCACTTGGCCGATCGACATTTCAGCCCCGGTAGCTGCTCCTTTTCCCGCTGCACAATGCAGCAGGGTTATCCCCCTTCTTCCCTCTGCACCGCGAACCCCGTATTAACCCAGCCGAGAGCACCGCGCAGTGTGGCCAAGGCTCAGAAGAGCCGGGCTGCTTACCTTCCCCGGGCGGAGTCAGCGCAGGTCCCGGGCGCCCGCTGTCCCGGGCCGCAGCCCCGCCGGCTGGGCCGAGTCTATCTGTCATCTTCTTCAACATCACCATTTATATGTGTGTTTTTGCAGTGGACATATGAATTTCTATTAATTCAGTGGCTTAAAATTCATTATTGGGGCTAGGACATTTGATATTCAAATTACCCCCTCCCAGCTGCAGCTGCCGCTCCCGCCGCCCAGCTCCGGCCGCATGAAGTCATCCCCCGCCCCGGGCCGGATCACTACATTGTGCGCCAGCCGCAGGGGGAGCCGCACCGCTCCCGGCCGGGGGGAAGGGCGCCCGGGAACTGCGCCCGACGCGCGCTGCCCCTCCGGGTTGCAGGTTTATTTTCTATCAATGCTTTTACAGATGCAGCACCGCTGGGTTGTGGACACAGAGAGAAGAGCCGGAGAGGCTTTCTCCGCAAAGCGTTTTTTCCTCCGAGCGCTCCCCTGTCACTCCGGCTGCATGGACAGCTCCATTCGACTGTGTGGGTTTCCCACCCTCTTCATATTATCAGTATTGTTCATTTCGCTGAATTTGAGAGCGGAGATTGTCCTTTAAGGTAAACATTCAAACATTCCGAAAATGTTTTAAATTGGTAATCGATCTTTCTAGGCCCCTTCTCGCACGCTCCACCTCCCTTCCAACACACACACACGCGTACACGCGCGCACACACAGCCAAACCAGTCACAATCATGAAAGCTGGGACCTCTCGCCCTGGCGCCTACGTAATAGAACGGGATCTCCCAAAGGAGTGGAGAAGTGGGGCCGACCAGAGAGACCACTGAAGGAGACAGAGAGGGGTCGCCCCAGAATTCTGGTGCTGTTCAGTGGTGCACTAGCGGACAGATGTTTCCTCTGACACCCTTTCCTTCTCCCTCTCCTCCGCCGCGCCCCCTCCCTTCCCTGCCACCTAATTGAGCAGACTGCTCTGGTGACAGCTATAACGTTTGGAAACCTAGAAGCAGAGTCCACATTAACAGATGGCTGCATCTTTTTCTTTCCCTAAGAATTCATCCTAATTTGTCTTAGGAGTAAAATAAGCATATAAGTCTCCAAGGTTGAGTTGTCTCTCTCTCTCTCTCTCCCTCCCTACGTCCCTCCCTTCCCATTCCCCCACCCCCAATGTGCTTCTTTCCTACATATCAGCAGTTCAGGGGGGTTGGGTGTTCCAGAGAAAAATGGCCGTATGGTTTGCTCTCTTTGCAGCTGAGCCAGGGTTTCTTTCTCAATTGTTGAGTCATTTCCAAGTAGGGAGGTTCCTTGACACTAGGGTTCTGTGGAGATGGAGTTCCCTCATTTAACTTGCCCTGCTCTTGGAATTGCCCATCACTAGGTCCAGGCCAGTTTTACCCTGTGGATTTGTCCAGCAACCTAAACAGTGTAATTGTGCAAGGCCAGGGAAACACCTTTGCTAAATGAAGTGTTCTCATCCCTCTGTTTATTAGTTTCAAAATTGGGAAGTAGTGTAGCAACAGAATTCCAAAAAAACTCGGAATTTTTGGCCCTAGAATGTATGCTCTTTGAAAGTTGAAACAGTCTAGTTCCCCTCGCTGAGCCTCACTTTTACAAAATTAGGCCACAAATATTGCCATAGAGCAAGGGATTCTCAATCTGTATCAAAAGGGGTATGAATACGAATATATTTCAGGAGTGTCGAATTTGGATGGGAAAATTACATCTTTAGTTTCACTAACCTCTAACTGAATTTCAGCGTTTATCATGTCCTTTAAATATAAATGTAGGCAACAAACCACAAAAATATTAGGAATGCCTGTGACTTTGTCCCCAATAGAAAACACCAGTAATTCCCTATTGCAGTTTTTATAGATATATCAAAATATCACTACTCTGATGTTATAATCAAATCATCACATTTTCTTTTATTTAACAGACTATATTTTTTCAATTGGTTTTGATGTACAGGACATTTGAGGAAATAGCACAGCTGTAGGAATATACCCCACTCCCATTTTCCTTATTAACATTTTACACTAATATGGTAACTTTGTTATGATTACTAAACTAATATTGATAACATTATCATTAACTAAAATCTTTATTCAGGTTTCCCTGGTTTTTTCCTAACATCCTTAATTCCATTCCAGGCTTCATCTTAGATGCCACATTACATTCAATTAACATGTCCCCATAGAATCCTCTAAACTGTGATAATTTCTCAGACTTTTCTTGTTTTGGACCTTGATGGTTTTGAGGAACAATGACCAAGTGTTTTGTAGAATGCCCCACGATTGCTATTTGTTTGATGATTTTCTCATGATAAGACTGGTGTTGTGGGTTATTGGGAGGACAACCGAAGAGATAAATTTCCATTTTCTTCACATCATATCCAGCTTATATACTATCAATGTGATTAATAACTGTTGATGTTGACCTTTAATCACCTTGCTGAGGATGTGTTTGTCAGATTTCTCCACTGTAAAGTTATTTTCTAGCCCATCCATCCTGTACTTGGAATAAAGTCAAAAGCCTAAAGCTAAGGAGTGGGGAGTAATGCTCCACCTCCTAGAGGATGGAGAATGGACATAAAGTATTTGGAATTCTGCACAGGAGATCTGTCTGTTCTTCCCCAAATATTAATTTATTCAATTATTTATTTATATCAGTAAAGACTCAGGGGTATTTATTTTATACATTTGGTAATGATTCAATACTACTTTATTTTGTTGTTCAGATTATTCCAGCTTTGGCCTTTGGGTGCTCTTTCGGTTGACTTCTGTGCTCCTTTGACTTACCCCCTTTGATATGTGAGTGTATGTGTGTGTGTTTGTGTCAACAATTCCATACCTTCTGGTATTATAACGCACTCTAGGCTCATCTTGTACATTTCCTGCTCCAAACCTTGAATCAGCCATTTTTTTTCAAGGAGCCCTGATTCCTTTTATTAGAAAATGGTAACAAAGCAAGAAAGCAAAGAAAAATATGTGTATCTTACCCATGTATATACACATATCTTCAAATACTTCTTTATGGAGCCATCTGTATCTATATTAAGCTAAAAATGAGTGCAGATTGATGTCTCTAACTTTAATCTGTTAACACATAGGTCATTATAGCCTCCTTCCCTTGCCTATTTGTAAATTTCCACTCCAATAGTGAGAAATATAGTCCCAACCATCCCCCATTTATTTACTTAATTGTTCATTTGCAGAGTATATGTATAGCAATATCAAAGCTGTTAACCCATTTTGCCATCACAATTTTAAAATATAGTAGTTAATAGAACCCTCCTATATCCTATTTATTGAGTTTAAATGCTCAAATATTTCCATATCATGAATTTTGTTTTTTAAAATATTTTGATAACTGCAGTTTGAAATTGATAGTTTCTTTTGCAAGTTTTCATATTATATTTTATTTACTTAAAAGCATTGTTTTGAGAGGGGTTACATAAGCCGCCCAGGTTGTCAAAGGGTCCACGGCAAGAAGGAGGTGAGAATCCCAATCACAGAGGATCACTGCGAGGTGTAAGTGGATGACAAGACATTGTGTGGTGCAGAACTTTGGGGTAGCTCACACTCAGTAAGTGTTATTCTTGCCCACTTGGGCGGGCTTTCATCTCCTTTGAAAGTTCTAAATACTTTGGGAGAGAGGACATGCTCAGCCTTAATAATGTATAATTTAGTTGAACGAGTTGCTAGGTATTGGGTGTTGTAGATAAAGGGCCATATAAAGTAAAGACGAGAGAGGACGAGAAGGTTAAGGGAACCAGAAGACTGGATGACTCTGCTTAGAGGTTTTGTATTTGGACAGACTTGGGTTTGGATCTTTACACTCACAGCCTGACTTTGTCTTGTTTTTTGAAATGAGAACCATGGCTGTTACACAGGCTTGTCCTAAGAGAGAAAGATCTTTAACTTTTCCAAAGCAGTGGAATGTAAGTGTGGAGACTTGGGACAGTAACAGTCCATGTTTTCTTGACCTTCCTGGTGCAGTTCTCATTCTGTGAAGCCAGACTTCCTGGAGACAAAGACAGTTGCTCATGATATAATATAGACTCATCTATCAAAGTACTCTTGCCAGGTGCTTTCTATTTATGGAATGGATATCAGCGTGTTGAGGGTGCTAGGAAAAAACCCAAAAGTTAAAGACATTAAATGGCAGAATTTAACTGCTTCAGATACTATAGCATCGTAAGTGGCATAGGAAAACTGGAAAGAAAAAGAAAAAGAAATGTAAAATGTCTTACGTCAACATACAGGATTTGAATCTGTCTTCCTGGATCTTGCCATAATACATACACACACACACAAATATACAAATATATACAAAATATGTATATACAACACATAATTTAATGAGTAAAATAGGGTGAAAGAGATCTTTTGTTTTTTGGGTTTTCTTTTTTTTTTTACTCTATAACTTTTCATTGCATAATCTTTTTTTAAGAGCTAAACTTTGGATCTTGACTTTGAGGCCTGTACTGTTTCCTTTCTGATTTTCTCGAAATAGAGATCAAATGGTCTAATGATGTAAGGAGTCTCAGCATGGGACAATGTGAAACCAGAGCCAGCTGCCCTGTGTGCCTGGAGCTGTCAGCTGTTAGCACCACTCCTTTGGGTTTAGGGAGTCCTTCCAGAATGGGCTCATTTAAATGCAAATACTCTATCTGGAAGGGTAACTGAGTAACTCATTAGCAGCCATTAACAATTTAGCAGAGATTAGTTTCTCAGATTTATTATTGAGAGGAGTTGTCAGGCTGATTTGGCCCCAGCATCTGTCACCCAATGTGTGACTGCCAGGCCTCTTGCTCTTATTACTCCATAAGGGTCTGCTTGGTCTACTAGAAAAGAATTGGGCACTTAGTGCATGACAAATAATATTGTTTTACATAATTCTGACTTATGAGAAAAGGTAGAAGGAGGAATTCTACGGTAATAGTATTTTTTGTGTGTTGTGGCTGCTAGGCTTGGGTTGATTAATCATGCCCTACAGAAGTCTTACAATTTTACAACAAAACATCTGCTCTTTTAATGAGGCCAGAAAGTATATCGTGTAAAAAAGTACAAAT